GTGCAAGGTCTGTGTTTTGTAGTGTCACCTAGTGGGTATTGCTAATTTTATCCCAGTTATATTTTTAGAGATAACATTACATCTGTCTCTTATACACATCTAGATGTGTATAAGAGACAGCTAAAATCTACAATGATCACTAACCAACATGCATGTTGTCAGAAGAAATGAATGAATTAAAGGCGTATAATAGGAGTGTACAATAGCAAATTAAGTAAAGCTAGATAAAAGCAAGACCACCCAACATTGTTCACCCTGTTGCCCACCCACATTAACAATGGTATATTCCAATTGGGTGGTTTATGTCCTGGGTGGTTTATGTCCTGGGTGGTTTATGTCCTGGGTGGTTTATGTCCTACATTCTAAAAATATGGAACAGAAATATAAAATATGATATAAAATAAATATATAGTGAAGTCTGTAGCATAGTCAAAATAAATATACAGGAAATGAAATAGGGCTGGAGTAAACAAAGTATAGGCTTGTTTAATTAATATTTTTGATGAATGTATATTCACTAGCAAAGCCCATGTCCTTATTAAGACCTCTTTTGTGGGTTTTTAGGCGGAGAATCCAACATTTCCGCACTACGTCTTTCTTTGGTAGATATGAAATTACTTTGTAGAATAATAAATCGCATGTCACTGGCATTATGATTAGGTAGACTGAAATGAGCTGCAACAGATTTGCTCATGTCTTTGCGTCTAATAGCTGTCTCTTATACACATCTAGATGTGTATAAGAGACAGGTATAAAGGCATATCGTCTCTTAATACAATAGATGAGATAAATAACGTTAGAAGCATGGCAGTCTAGGTTGGGGGGGGGGGGTGTACGATTTCCGTGGATCCTGGTATTTTGAATCTATGTCCTGTAGTGATTATGTTACATAATTGACATCTAATGTCTTTGCATGGTTTGTTACCTGTGTTTGTGGAGAGGTGGTCAGTTGGTAGTTTAGATGATGTTATGAGCGATTTAAGAATAGGGGGTTGTCTGCGTGCGATTATGGGTGGTTTGTCATAAAGTTGGGCGATGGATGGGTCTGATTTGAGTATTTTGTAATCAGTTTTAATGGCATCTGTAAATGGTTTGGTGAGAGGGTTATAGTCTAATAGTCTAATATAAGTGGTATGCAGTTGCTATTAGGCTTTTCGTTGTATGTGAAAGAACTTAAAACTGATGCTATGCTTGTCACTTTGGATGTCTCTTCCTTATTACCAATATCCCCCATAACGAAGGTTTAATTGCTTGTAGGAATTTCCTCACTAAACATAACACCGGACACAACATAGATAATATTTGCACTATCATTAAGTACATCCTAAAACATAACTACTTTACATTTAATGGGAAAGACTATCTACAGACTAAAGGTACAGCTATGGGGACTAAAATGGCTCCTAGTTATGCCAACATATTCATGGCCGACTTAGAAGAACGCATGTTATCTAGTTTCCCTCTTTAACCCACATTCTATACTAGATACATAGACGACATATTCATAATATGGGAACACGGCCCTAACGCACTCAGCCAGTTTGAGACCCATATCAACAGGTTTCATCCCAGCATAAAATTCACACTAGAATCAACAGAGGATAGCCCACGAAACTAGAAGAAGACTTAGATCCCGTTTTTAGATATAACATCCACACTCAAAAACGGTACCATCTCTACATCCATCCACATCAAACCCACCGACAACCATAAATATCTTCACTTTAACAGCTTCCATCCCACAAGCCTGAAAAAGCCATTAATTAAAGCTGCCGTAGCTAAAGCTACACTTAAAACCAGAACAAATCTCCTCACATACAACGAAAAGCCTAATAGCAACTGCATACCACTTATATTAGACTATAACCCTCTCACCAAACCATTTACAGATGCCATTAAAACTGATTACAAAATACTCAAATCAGACCCATCCATCGCCCAACTTTATGACAAACCACCCATAATCGCACGCAGACAACCCCCCAATCTTAAATCGCTCATAACATCTTCTAAACTACCAACTGACCACCTCTCCACAAACACAGGTAACAAACCATGCAAAGACATTAGATGTCAATTATGTAACATAATCACTACAGGACATAGATTCAAAATACCAGGATCCACGGAAATCGTACACCCCCCCCCCAACCTAGACTGCCATGCTTCTAACGTTATTTATCTCATCTATTGTATTAAGTGTAACCATGGAAACTACATAGGTGAAACGGGTACCAAAATCAGGGCGAGACTTAATAATCACAAATGCACTATTAGACGCAAAGACATGAGCAAATCTGTTGCAGCTCATTTCAGTCTCCCTAACCATAATGCCAGTGACATGCGATTTATTATTCTACAAAGTAATTTCATATCTACCAAAGAAAGACGTAGTGCGGAAATCCGTTGGATTCTCCGCCTAAAAACCCACAAAAAAGGTCTTAATAAGACATGGGCCTGTCTCTTATACACATCTAGATGACTAAAGAAAGACGTAGTGCGGAAATCCGTTGGATTCTCCGCCTAAAAACCCACAAAAAGGGTCTTAATAAGGACATGGGCTTTGCCAGTGAATATACATTCATCAAAGATATTAATTAAACAAGCCTATACCTGTCTCTTATACACATAGATGTGTATAAGAGACAGATTTTTAACCTGTCTTCCGCCTATCGATTTACTCTTGAGGTTTTAAGAGTTTCCAGTTCATCGCTAATTAAATCAAGCTAATCCCCCAAAAAGTATATAATTAATATGAAAAACACAGTCGGATTGTGGCACACACAGAGATTCGTGAAGAAATACAATACCGATATAGAAATATGATATAAACCTATTACAAAACTATCAAAGATTATACAGTAATACAAGTATTAACATTAAATTTAATATGTCAATTTAACACAATAATAAAAATATGTAAAAACAACGAATTTATATATATATATTTTTACATTTAAATATTTTTAATAACGTAATGGAATTATTTTCCATATGGACGACGTTTGGAAAATATGGTAAGACTATAATACAAAATTGAATGAATTTTAATAATAATTTACTTCATTATTCGATAAGTCATGAAGGAAAGAAGGATAAATAAGTGTTTATCTTAACAAAGTGAGTTTTATTGATTTATTGGTACTTTTGTAGATGCAAGCATTTAAAAAAAACAAAAAAAAAACTGGTTGTATCAAATTTGTCGATTAAAGGTTTACTTCTTTTATAGATGTTAATATATATATATATTATATATATATATTTATATATAAAACGAATTTATTAAATATCAACTTATTATAAAACGATTAAAACATTATATGATGACATGCTTAATTTATTATACTATAATATACTATAGAGGTCCCTTCACGGAATGATTGTTTGTACAAATAAAATATATTGCTTATCTTTCCTGTCTGATACGAACGCATATGAACGCAACAGGCGAGCATGATCATAGGTAGGCCTACTGGCGCCGTGCAGTTGTTTGGATAGAATTCCATTATTGTATCAGACTCTGATTGGATTTGCTTTGTTTATTAATTTTGGATCATAGTTTAACTTTTATCTAAAATATCTCTATTTCCGATTGACTGTTTGGCTCGCCATTATAGAAATCTCTCTCACAACACGACACATACTTCACACTTTTTGCAAGTGGTCAGTGTCTGTAGTTCATTAGAAAGCCACCTTGATATTTTGTGAACAGAGAAAATAACGTAGGGCCTACACGGGTTCAACGGTTGAACGTCCTATTCAGTGGTGGATGCATATTTATACAGTTAGGCCTATTATTAGGATTGGGTTTGAGATTGAATCAGATTGTATCCGATATTGCTAACTTAAGCTGAAAAACCACTAATTATGTCTAACTGTAGGAATTCACACCGCAATTGTCAGTGGTGGCGCCAGTGATGAAGGCTGGGGGACCAGATTCGCTCCGTGGGGAGAGCTTCGCCTCCTGTCGTGGAGGAAAATCACAAATCGTCGAGAAGAACAAAAAAAAAATCTATTTAATTTTTACAGAATGTGGGACTGTAAAATCGATTAAATAAGCCTTTCAAACCCCTCAATGTCGGCGTTTTCAGAGGGCTTCGCTCACGTCGTATTTTTTTTGTCAATTTCTTTTCCAGAACAATGGATACCTCTATGTTCTGTCTGATATTTGCCAGTTTGGTATTGGCAGCAACAGCAGATAAAGGTACCACACATAACATACAAGACATTTTCATTGGTCGATGCATACAATATTCAAATATTGTGACGCCTGTTAATGGTAACTGGTTAATTGATGAAGCCTTTAGCAAATCGTAAGTAGAGACAACTTTTTTTCATTCTATTTCCAGCTTCATCGCATAGAAAGAAAAATACTGTACAAAATAAGTATATTCATCTATTTATTTATTTTATTATTTATAATTATCAATTTTACGTTTTAGAATAAACTAGTAGAATTAGAACTACACTTTTTTTTTATAATATAAACCAGTAAAATTTTGGCCAGGCTAAGTGTTCTTATTTTTTGGTCGATTTCAGGCTCAAAATGTTCTTAATTTGTTCTTATTTTACACACTTTTCAAACATAGAAAATTATTATTGTACAGCAAAAATGGGCCCTGAAGAAAATGCCCTGGAAAATTTGCTCCAGAAAAAAGGCCTGGTAAAAATGGCCCCAAATGACAGTACACCTGATTATATTGTCACGCCTATATTACTGCACATAAGGTACAGATATGATTTTTTGGTTTTTCAAAAACCTCATTTGACATTTTACCCTCAATTTGTTCTTATTTTGTTCTTAATTTTTAAGCAATTTCAGCCTCAGTGTTCTTATAAAATGTGTTCTTATAAAAAAAGTGTAATTTATAGCAACATTTGCAATCCAATACGATTCATTTATAATATTAAATCAGCACAAATGTAATTAAAACAATAATAGTTTTATATGTTGTAGAAACGGTTAGGGGCAGTGGGAACGGTATGGTTTCCCAACCTCGAGGTCGGGGTTTCAGTCCCTCGCTGTATTGTACATTTCGCTTGCGTCCTTGAGCAAAGCATTTTGCTTCTCCTGTAATCACCTGTCTTGTCGGGCTCGTAGGTAGACCATACAAGCCTGTATGGTGCATGTTATGCCCACCCAATTTCATCAGGCCATCACTGCATGGGTTCTCTCCATCCAGGATACCTGGTGGGGTTGTCCACTCCCGCGATATTTAGGCCTACCAGCAGCAACACTTAAGACAATAAAACCCAATGACCAGGAAAAAAAAAGAAGCGATTTGTATCTACAAAGAAGAGACGCTGTATAAATGATAAATAAATAAAATAATAATAATAGAATGTTCCCAATATTGTTTCATGATGCAGTGTTAATGACCAAATATTCCATTTTTATTTAAAATATTGAGCTTTCTATTGGATGAATGTAGCATTAATAGAGCAACGACTTAGAATTAATGGTGCATGTTATGGTATATAGGCCTATTAAAGAATCCTACAGTGAAAGTACTACAGCAGTCTCAAAGTATGAACATTTCATTCAACTTCATATAACCTACAATGATTATAAAAAATTAGTGTCCCATTAATAGGGGTTATTTGACCATTTGGCAAACTCATGAAGTGTCCCCGTCCCATTGTGGTTGGCCGTAGTGTTAAAAGATATATTGACCCTCGTTTCACGGAAAGTTGGTATGATTCTGGCAACTTCCTGCGCCGCGGTTTCCGCAGTTTCCCTAGATCAAACTTTCTAGTTACCCAAATAGGACCAATTAAGTTGTAGGCCTACCTTAAGCTTGGTTTCCATACAATCGCTATACGATCTCGCCAGCAGCTTTCGGTGATGCTGATTGGTCGGTCGCGTCGAGAAGTCTTCCCGGTTGCGTCGGGGACTGCTACGCAGTGTACAACGATTGCTCTGAAAATCGCTTAGCGATTTTATGGAAACCAGCCTTTACTCTATGTTATCACCATCTATTATCGTATAGTTAGTGGCAAATGATTTCTAAAAGTTTCTTTCACATGTATTACACAGACTGGATTGCAACAACTTATACACACAGTTTGAGACAGCGTTCGCAAACAAAGATCCTTGTGCCATTGAGGATAATGCGTTTGAGCCATTTGTGTTATCTGTCAGTCAAGTTCTACCAGCCAATCAGGTAGGCATTAGGCAAAAAAAATGTGGAGATCAAAGTCTTTCACTAATGTAATATTCTACGTCTAATTCCTCAAAGTGCTTAAAGACCCTACCGTTGCTCCCCATGAAATTCAGATCATAAAATTGGTAAACACATGGCTAACATCCGGGTTAAGGTATCCAATTTATTATTTTCTATGTTAGGCTATTATAATGAGAACATTAAAAGAGCTAAACAGTCCAATCTACGTGACAATTTAAAGTTTACAGGCGAGCGATCTTTTTAACTCATACACATGCACAATAAGTACATTAAGCCACTCTGACGTATAGGCCCAATCGAATGCTTTTCACTTACTTTCATCAAAAGTGAACATTTTAATATAATTATAAAGGTGAATGAAAGGATACACAGAAAGGTGTTAGGCCTACTCACAAAGTAGCCTGTTGGTTATCACATGACGGCGTCATTATTTTTCGCATTCATCCTTCAGTTAAAATGTAAATATCCTTACCTTTCCATCATTGGTTGGCAGTTATGCAGCAGGTTGCCATATTTACATCTATACGCGCACGCGCTCAGGTAAATCTCAGCCCGAGATTCGAGTCACTTATTTTGAGAAATTCTTTACTATACTGTATGTTCATTTATACGCTGCCTTCCACAGGCTTTGTTCTGGTCAGGCACGAATTTACTGGCTCATCGATACGCTCTGGCCACGTCAAAATTGAAGACAATGGAGGACACCCTTCTTGGTTATCTGATGAACAATCTGATTTTTTGTGGAGAGTTGAATAGTGGTATAAATTATGATGAATGTCCGGGATATGGAAATTGTCCGAGTAATGGAAATGAAGTTATGAGCACATTTTGGGATACCGCATCCAAGAGTGTAAGTAGTGCATGTTAACATTTCAATCAATAATCAAAATGATATCAATAGGCCTAGTATAGGATTTGATGTGATATCAATAATCGATAATCAATCAATTCATGATCAATTAATATATGGATCCGTCCGTCCTTTCATCCAAAAATAACGCATACCAACCACTCAAATATTCCTAATCAATCAATCAATCAATCATTTTATTAATTATTATTCAATTGATCGATCAATCAATCAATCAATCAATCAATCAACCAACCAATCAAGCAATCAATCAGTCAATCAAACAACGAATCAATTAATCAATCAATCAACCACCTGATCAATCAATCGGTCGACCGACCGACCGACCTGACCGACCGACCGACCGATCAATAAATCACTATTTCAACCAATTAAATCAGTCGATCAACTTTAATGCGCCCTCTTCACCTATATTATTATGGAATGACGTTTTTGTATCACACAGTTTGCTAGTCGTGCGAATGGTGAAATCGCCGTTCTCTTGTCAGGATCTAATGCCGATGGCGCTTATCGCAACACAAGGTATGTACTCGCAACAAATTTCCCAACCCTGTCAAATGATATACAAATAAGCCTATCGTGTGACGGTCGTACTACCGTCGGCCGATAAATCAATCTCCGCTTTCTGTGAGGCGCTAGATGACGTGACAACGTCTGCAGATTGTCGCTGGTAGTCCGCCCGCTAAGCGGATCGCGTCGCGTACCTCGTCACGTTGAGTTCTTTTTGCATTGTGTGCATGGTGTTAGTAACGATATTTACGTTTATGACATACATAGGCCTATCACTTTTTTGTAGCCGACTTACCTGAACATTTGAATTTAATATGTGTCAGTGTGTCAGTGTTATTTGTCGCTTTGATGTCTTAGCGCTAGTGCCCTTAACCTGTCTTTGATATATGAAGTTCTGATTTTGAGATACTGACACGTTTTCCTTTGTCGGGTTTTTTTCTTTAGTACCTTTGCAAGAATTGAGTTACCAAATCTAAACCCGGAAACAATCAGTAATGTGCGTATCATTGTTTCACATGACATTGGGACAACAAGTCCAAAGTAAGTACTTAGATAAACTTTCTTTATGTATCTTATTTTTAATATTTATTCGCTATGCTTAGGCCTATTACATATTTTACATTTTTGCGTAGATACCGTAATTCAAGTCACAGTGACACAGTGTTGGCTTTACATCGAACTAAACAATAAGCATCGGGCCTATAAAAATGATTACTTTGACAATGAATGCAATGGGAATGAGGATGATAAGAAGGAAACCGAGGCTGATATGTTTTTTTTCAAAATACCATTTCAAAACCCAAAAGCAAAACACTGACAATTAGGAAAAAAAATAACAGAGGATAACACTTAAGCTGGTAGGCTTGTTACGTTTACGTTTCAGAAGGGGTCCAGCAGAATCTATAGATACAGAAATATAAATGATATAATAAAGCATTAAACAAAATGTAAGAATATAACAATTTTTTTTAATGTACAACATTTAAATATACACAATTTTAAGGTTTATAAAAATACTAAAGAGCATCCCCATACTTATCATCACCATTGAGAAATTGGTTAGCGCAGCAGTGGGTCGGCTCTCAACCTTGAGTTTTGAATCTCTCACGTACATTTTACAGTACTTGTGTCCTTAAGAAACACACTTTATTTGTTTGTCTCTCTCCACTCAGGAATATCACTATAAATAATAACTCCCTGGAAACATTAATACCTGGTGGAATGGTACAGCAATCAATGAATGCATGCATGCACATTAATTGCAGCACGACTTAAGAGTGGAGAATTGTCTACTCTGCGCCTATAGATGGATTCAAAATGAGGGATAATAATTTGCAGGAGAGTTGAGACATTTTTTGAGTTTACAAAGCGCTATATAAACACTCAAGATTAGGTATATTATTTGTAATGATCATCATTAAAAGCTTCGTTATGTATTGCTTTTACAATTTCAAGGCATGAGACCTGCAATGATGGTTCGTTGCTTACTCTGAAGGCAGACTTGGACAAGCGTGAAATTAAATACACGTGTGAAGAGGATGAATAGTAAGTGATAGCGATGTGCATACATGAGCCACACATGCTTAAAGAAGAATGATGCAATTTTACGAAAGCCTATTCGTGCCACTTAAGTATATAAAATCATCAAAATGTAATCCGAAATAAAGGATTAGTAATCCGTTATTTCGAATTAGTAACTCGTTATTTCGGATTAATAATCCGAAATTTCGAATTAGTAATTCGTTATTTCGAATTAGTAATCCGTTATTTCGGATTACTAATCCGAAATTTCGAATTAAGTAATTCGTTATTTCGAATTAGTAATTCGTTTTTTCGGATTACGGTACTAATCCGAAATAACGAATTACTAATTCGAAATTTCGGATTAGTAATTCGTTATTTCGGATTACTAATCCGAAATTTCGAATTAGTAATTCGTTTTTTCGAATTAGTAATCTGTTATTTCGGATTACTAATCCGAAATTTCGAATTAAGTAATTCGTTATTTCGAATTAGTAATTCGTTTTTTCGGATTACTAATCCGAAATAACAAATTAGTAATTCGAAATTTCGGATTAGTAATTCGTTATTTCGGATTAATAATCCGAAATTTCGAATTAGTAATTCGTTATTTCGAGTTAGTAATTCGTTATTTCGGATTACTAATTCGTTATTTCGAGTTAGTAATTCGTTATTTCGAATTACTAACTCGAAATAATGAATTACTAATTCAAAATTTCGGATTAGTAATCCGAAATAACGAATTACTAACTCGAAATAACGAATTACTCAGGATCGAGGACGTAGGTCTAGGCCTAGAGAGAGAGTTGGGACGCGGTAACGTCCTGCCCTAGTTTTCACACGTTTCACTCGGTTTCAGTAATTTTGAAAGGAACGCATGAATCATGCTGTCATAATAACGTTGTTACAAATAAAAAGAACTAACATAATTGTCCATTTAATATTGGCATGTATTTAATAATCTATTCATTATTTACTACAGTGAGAAAAGAAAGAAAAGCAGTATTTACACAGGATCTCAATAAATAGCTATTAGTATGGTGATTATGTCTTGCTGAGCTATACTGGAAAAAAAGTCTAGTTTATCATAAATTATAGTGTATTGTATAATGTTTGTTTTTGCATTATTAATAAAAAATATTTTCATTAAAATCGAGACAGCTGAAAATAATTATAGGCCTATGTTTTTCTTTAATTCTTTTACGTATACACTTAAATCATTTTTGTTGTAGTAATTTTTGTTGTACCTGTTACTGTACACACTGTTTATTGAGAAAAAAAAAACCAGCTTCATTCTCAAAGTAATTCAGTTATTGCAATTCGTAAAAC